TATAAACTTTTTTCTTTTTTGCTGATCTTTTAAACCCTTATCTTGTAATTCTTAATTTTTCCATTTCATTTTTTTAAATCAACATTTATTTTCCCTTTTACAGCGAATAAAGGCAAACTTTTTTTGGGAAAAACTGATAGGATACCTTTTATGTTCTTTTTAAAGTTTATCCTCTTGCTTTACAAGAAATTAATATATATTGCTAACACTTTCATGGTGTGTAATGTTTTAGACTAGCAAGTGAATAGTATTTGAGCAATAGGTATTTATAGCTATCAAGAAGATGCATGTAATTTTTATTTTTTCTTCTTTATTCCTTTTAAATTGTATTTATAAACTAAGTCAACAAGTCTTCTCTACAACTTTATCAATTGTCCCTGTTTGGGCCATGCATGCTCACGTAATTTAGGGGTAGGTTGGTGGAAGGTGGGGATGGGGCGCCCGGGGGATGTGGGGTGCCCGGGGGAGGGGGTAATTTTTATTTTTATTTTTGAAAAACAAATTTTTTTAAATTGGTTAGAATCATTTTACTCAAATCATATTTGACCAAATCCATATTTACCCGTATACTATTTGGATGGATTGTAATCCAAATTATTTTTGCTCAATCCATCCAAATCCAATCCAATCCAACCATTTGCTACCCCTAGCTACTCACATTGATGAAGTTGTCTTGCTGATAAAAGAGGACTTTTCTTAAAAAGTTATAAATAAAAAATGTTTTTTTTTACAATTTTATCCTAATCTCTTTCATAAACAAGGTTAATTAGATAATTTTATTGATTTTTAAATAATTATAATATCAACTAATTAATAATTACTTGTTTGAATGCTTCACTATTGGTTGTTTGACTCGAAGACTTGTTGATTTTAAAGAGCTTTTTTACTTTTCCTCTTAAATTGTATGTATTAATTAAGTCAAGAAGACTCCAACAAGTCTTCTCCACATTCCACAACACTATTTATTAAGGTCCCATTTGAATTTGATTTGAAATCAGATTGATTTGAAGTTAAAGTTGAAGTTTGGATATGTAACTCAGATTTCTTAAGTTGTATTTTTTAGTCAATAACATGAAAATTTCACATGTTGTGAAAACATAAAAAAAATAATAAATTCTTATATTATTTTACCAAATGAGCAAATCATAATTCAAAAATAGCTATAAATATTGATGAAGAGCTGCTAATAGTAACATAAATCAATTTTTGTATCTATATGAAAATATTCCATTAATAATCCAAGGTACAGTCTTTCCACGTAGTTTCTAAGCACATCGATCCCTGTCATAAGTTTCCAAGTTGCCCTTCTTCACGCACAATTGACTTGTTAGAATGGAAATTTTGTTCGTACTTTGACTAGTTATTACTTCCTATATCTTCATTTTATTTGTAATAAATTTTTGAAAAACTTACATAAATTTCACTAATTTAGGAATTAATTATTCAAATACATTCTAATATGTAATATTGCAAATCCTATCACATTTTAGTGCATCCAGATACATTTAGATATGTTCAAATACATGTTTTTCGAGATACATGCGGTCAAAATTAAGCGTAATTTATTCTAGATACATCGTATCCAATTGAATTTGCATGTATCGATCTAGGATACATAGACAAATCTCCCCCGCCTCCTTCCATCTTGCTCTCACTCTCCTATGTATCGGGTACCCCATATTCATGTGAATCACACTAGTTACATACAGATGCATGTATCTAGTGTGTACCTAGTGTGGTTCGCATGTATCTGAGATACATGACTGTCTCCCTCGCCTCCTTTCCCATTTCGCTTGCCTCTCTCCCTATTTTAATGTATCAAATAGCAAAAATACATATATCTAGATTCTAAGTATATCTTACTCAATGTATGATATAAAATATATTCTTACTCAAGGATTGCAAACTATTCAAAACCTCCATGGATATATCTTTAAGTAGTTGCTTACTATATGTATATATAGCTATTGTTTTTTGGTAATTATATATAACTATTAATAAATGTATAATAATTGAAAACTAATGTGTAGTTTTAGTAAGATGATGCATGTTAATGTGGACTGCTTGACTTTAAAGTGTTTTTTTTTTTTTTTTTTTTACTCCCTCCGTTTCACATGCTTGACTTTAAAGTGTTCTTTTTTATGTATTTATTAATTAAGTCAACAATTCTTCTCTACAACTTTATCATGTCCACCATGCCCATAATGATGAACTTGTTTGGTTGGGTTAAATGTTTGGAAAATATTTTTCAAATTAACTCATTTTTCTCAAATTTAAGGAAAACATTTTTCAAAACTCTACTTCATCCTTTAATTTTTTTTTTTTACCCTACACCTACTCCGTACCCGACCCTCCCATTCAAATAAATAAATGAATTTTCTTATTTTTTAAATTTCAAATATATTTTTATCTCTACCACCAAACCAGCCCCCCGCCCCCTCCCCTCCCAGCTTCCCAAAACAAAAGAATAAAAAATTTAAAATTTATTTTCATTTTCACCACACCCCCTACCCCTACCCCACCTCCATCCCGTGACCCCATCAATTTAAAAAAAAAAAAAATTATTTTTCCTGGGTCAGGTCCTGTGTCAAATCTCAGGGTCGGATTTTGAAACGGTCATCGGGGACTTGTCCTAGTTTGGGTGTCAAGGTCGGGTCCTCAATCAATTATCGGGGTTGATTTTCAGATCAGAAATTATTTTCCTAAAAAGTATTTTTTAGTCTCAAGTCCAAAATAAAAGATATTTTCTGAAAAATATTTTTCATTCACCAACCAAACATTAAAAAATATTTTCCAGAAACATTTTCTACTCACCAACCAAACATGAGAAAATAAGTTAAAAAATCCACTTATTTTCCAAGAAAACATTTTCCTTCGTACCAAACACACCGTGGAAGAAAAAAGGATGATAGCAAAGATCTATTTTCATCTTATATAGTTTGTATTCCTAACATGAAAAGTGTAGGTATACAAACTAACTTTTGAAGATAGCAATACCTTAATCACATCTTTCAACATATTGGTACCTTTGCAAGAAACAGTTTTCACAGCTACGGTCTAGAAAATAAAAATAAGCATGTCTCCGTGATCTCTTAAAAAAGAATGAACCACAAACACCCCAAAAGCTTAGTACAAATCCTATAGCCATTGATTGTAAAACCAATTCACTTCATCTTTTTCACTCTCAACATCTTCATATTCGTGATTTGGAATATTATCATCTGAAATGCAGTACACCAAGAGTGGTCCTGATCCAACCATTAAAGATAGGATATACAACTTCAATAATACTGGTGGTCCTGATCCAACCATGAGCCAATGGCTATTGTCTAAGTTAAAGGATAAATGTCCTAGAATTTCATTAATATTTGACAACACTCATTAAAGATAGGATATACAACTTCAATAATACGGTCGATCTGTGGTTCAACTCTCATTATATTGCCCATTAGGACATACCTTTGGATGCTATCCTTTTTAACGTTTTTATTTTACAACCTTTATCTTATTCTAGATTTTCTTTTTATGACAATGGTACTCAAACTAGCTTGCGTGCACCTAGAGTTTTAAGTCATAATCTTCTTTGGTTACCACATTTTAGATAGACTAATTATAATATTAAATAAATTTTCAAACATAAATACATATGATCAAGCCAAAATTAATTGAGTTTTGCTGAATTCTTAACTCTGTTTGGTGAATCTACCCTATGATGAGTACATGCTACCTCGTAGCCATTAACAAACATGGTCACTGAATAACTTTGACCATCAAAACTTAGCCAGTTTGAAAGAAATCACGTACTAAATTAAATTTGAACTCTGACGATTTTCATCTCATTTCATTGACCGTTAACTACTTGTTTATTTTCGATTCTAGGTGGACACACCGTTGGAATTGCTCGTTGCTCACTCTTCAAAGATAGAATATACAACTTCAATAAAACTGGTGGTCCTGATCCAAGCATGAGCCCATGTCTATTGGCTGAATTAAAGGATAAATGTCCTACAATTTCATTAATATTTGATAACACTTATTCTCTTGATGTAAAGACTCCATCTTTGGTAGATAATTCATATTTTCAAGAAATTAAAAAGGGAAATGGTCTTCAAATTGATCAACAAATAGCATTGGATGAATTGACAAAGAATATTGTGGATGATATTGTTAATGATCCTGATTTTTACACTAAGTTTGGTGAGGCCATGGTGAAATTGGGTAGAGTTGAAGTATTAATTGATGGACAAAGAAAAGTGAGAAAATCATGTAGGGTTGTTAATAAGAAGCCATTCATTTTTGGGGGGTTCAATTAGAAAAAGTCTATTTTTTTGGTTAATTTATTTGTTTATTGTATAAGTTTTCTTTTGTTACATTTTTTGTATTGGGTGTGGGGGGGGGGGGGGAAAAGCAGATTTGTGGGGGGGGGGGGGGGGGGGGGGGGATAGAGACCCTTCCTTCATTGATTCTTTGGCATGTGAAATTTGAGTATTGTTGTACTCTTTTTCTTTTGTGTAAAATTCTTCTTTGTAATTTGATTTTGTTTTTACTGAATTTATACCACTAGCTAGTGTCTAGCGGCCTTTTATTAATAATATAATTAAAAGAAAACCTCAATAGAGATACACAAGCAAGGGGGGTTAGACCATACCTTACCAATTCTAATGAGGTATGAAGCCTTTACTAATTAACCCGCATGAAGAAAATAAGAGCTAGAGAGAACTAAGTATTCTATTATCATCATTGTCACACCCTAAGCCTACACCCTGGGCGCGACTTGCACTCGAGAACCATTGATGGCCTCAAGAGAACCCTTGGTCTGGTTTACTTCTCAGGGGAAGACTTTACTCAACAAATATAAGTCCATGAAATAAGCTAGAATGTTATAAAAGAAAACATTCAAACTGGCCAATAAGGCAACTCAAGTCTTACAATCAAAACATCTGAAATATCAAGACTAATGAACTACTAACTAACTGTCTATGAAGCCTCTAAATACTAAGAGGGATGTCGAGAGAAGACCTCCGATCATCCTAACAACTGAAATAATAAAACATGAAAAAGGGATCCTCCGAAAAGCAAGGAGGCTCACCAAATGACTCTGAATGCTCAGCTGGATCACGAAGCGCTGGATGCAGATCCTGGTTACCTGTATCTGCATCATAAAATGATAAAAGCCAATTGGCATCAGTACATTGAATGTATGAGCATGTGAGGGGAAATCTAAACAAACATAAGCTTAAACTGGAATATGAAGGAAACACTTACCTCTTCTCAACTCAACTCTTTTCAATATAAAGCAGAAATAAAGATATAGTATAAAGAAAAGGTTTTAAAAATGAAGATAACAACTCGATGCATTTAAAAACACACAACAACTCAGTTTGTATATGAAAATACAAGTAACTATGTGTATAAGTATACAAAATATCTCCGTGGGAGTTTCTCTTACTGACAACTATCTCTATGATATTAAGTGATTGTACAACGTCTTGCCGCACGCTGCTAGGGCCGTCCTATACCTTACTAGGGGTATAGAACCTACTACTAAGTGGATCCACTAGTCTATTCTAAAAGCATTAAGGAATCATCTAAACAGTATGACCCTTTTCTACCCATGTTGGCTACACGGTTTATGGAGACTTTGAATTATCTGAATTCAAATGTGTCCCCAAATCTTTGCTCAATACTACTCCCAAATATACTAGCTCATATGTTTAAAAAAGCATAACTATTTCCGTGGTTTGAGATTATTACTCAAAACTAGCTCAAAAGCTCTCTTGGAAATCAGTGTTTCCTCTCTTGTTTAAATGTGAAAACATTTTAACTCTTTGGAATACCTAGTTCCCATATAATATTTTGAAGAAAAAAACTTCACTCTTACTCTTTTTTTAACTCAATGCCCAAGTCTTTAAAACAAGTTAAAACGTTTGTAAAAGACTTTTGAAAAGACTCTAAGAACTCTCTAGACTTGGCTCTTGACTTTCCCTGAATTTGAATTTATGGATTCAAGGTTATGATTCTTGTTTATGGATGATTTTTCGATGTTTAAAAGTCATTTATAGTAGTTAGAATCGATAGGAAGTGTTAGTAAACTTAAGAAGGACTTAGACGGGCTAAACGTCGGAAAAAGGGTAGGGACAAGCGACTCTGGCGCACTGCTGGCGTGGGGCGCCAGCCCCTAAAGTTCAGAGGCTCTAATCTAGCACACTAGCGCGTCGCGCAAGCTTCCCCCCAAGCTAACCCCAACGAACTTTTCTTCTCGTTTTCTGATCATAATGCAACTAATTTCAATTCTTTTTCTCAATTTCTTTTTAGATTCAGATACCCAATACATGTACACAAGAATCTAATCAAACACAACTTTAATTTAAAATCGACATGATTTCATCAAGAACTCAACAATCCCATCCTAACTTAAGAACGAAAGCCAATTTCAAGAACACAATTCAAGATCATCAAACTTTCAACTTTCTAGAACGAATTTCGTTGACATAAACATGATTGGCGCGTGAGTGAACGAACCCAATGCTATGAAAGTCTCACATACATCTTTAGGGATCAAGCCTTGGCGAAATCTGCAACCAAATCCTCAAGAAATCGACGAATCTTAACCTTTCTCCTCTTTTCTCTTCTTGAACTCTTTTCTAAAAACCCTAGAGTGAATTGTAATTGCGTAAACTGAACCAATTCAGTTTAGATCTCTAATTAATTGCTAAAAATGAATTAAATATGATAGGGTAAGGAAAAGACCAAAATACCCCTCTTAAATCCGGGTAACTTTCCTTAACTAGACAGCCCGACTTCAAGGGAATATCTCCCTCATACGAGCTCAAAAAATAGCAAACTCGGTGGTGTTGAAAAGATAATTCAAAGACCTTTAATTTGATATCTTCTAGCCTACCTAACTCATCCTGTACTAGGACTATGGTCGTTTGAAGTTGACTCAAAACTCATACTTAACATAACTTGCCAATATTTCCAAATTTTCATTCTTTCCAAAAATGGTTCTTTCTAATTCTAACTTTTTCAATTAGCGGGGTGCTACAATCATAGAGTTTATAATACACTCTATGATGATATTACAAATGAAGATGCTTAAGTAGTACAAATTAAAATTATAAAAGCCATGATGAGATTTGAGTAATTAAACTCAAACTTTGTTTTACAAAAATATGAACTAAAAAAGATAGATTGCTCTTCTAATGGAGTGTTTTCCTCTTGTCTTCCTCTTCAAATCTGTCTAACAATACTTGATAGTTCATCAATTCTTCTTAGATTTATTGGATCTTGTTAAAGTTGTTCACAATGTCATGTGATTATGTTTTGCCAGTCTCATCGATAGGTGCCTTGGAACAAACTCCTCAGTCATCTTACCATCCCAACTATTTTTTTCTTCCATGCTTCTTTTTGTTGTTGCATTATTGCCTATGAGAAATATCTACATCCCTAGCTGCATTTGCAAAACAATAATTCAACATATCCTCTTCTTCACTTTCCTCAAAGGTGTCCTCATCTTGTAGGTTAGCAAATCTATTTGTGGAGAAAGAACTACTACCAACATCTTGTAGTTGTTTGTTTGTGTTAATAGGCGTAAGAGAACTCAACTTTTCAACATTAGAACTCACCAACGCATCAAGAAGCTCTTTGTCACCAACTGAAAATTTTTGAACATTAGTACCTGTTAAAAGCAATTGTCGCTCTATATGTCATGGGGATGAATCACTGCTAATGCCACTACCCTTAGGCACAAAAATTGGTGCTTCGGGGCTCAATTTTCTATGAGTTGTGACATGTTCATTCTCTTCTTCCACTCGGTTGGCCCATCGACTCTCACTTGTAACACCTTTTTGCCCGCTAGAAGTGATCAAATTATTTGTCGGAGTAACTTGAGAGATTTAAACAATCGGTAGAGCATGAGAGTTAACCATATTCGACTTAGGAGCACAATGAGGCTTAATTAGAGAGGCTCCTGGAGAACCAATTTGAGCTCCAACATCAACCGTTACCCCTGCTTTATCAACTATATTAGATTGTCCAAGTTCTTTTATTTGTGCCACAAAAGTAGCAGTTGTGTTAATGGCTACGTCTTCAGTCAATAGCTTTCCAGAAGCGACTTGGGACGCAACAACAAAAGCCTTTGAATTAGTTGTCTTTTCTTGATGTTCAATCTTATCATTTGTTGTATCTGTAGGTTCACTCCCTACCCTCGTGATCCCTGCAACTATAACACTTTCTTTTGAAGTTGCATTATAATTTTGTTGCTGCCCAACTTCAGTTTGACATGTTTGCTGCCCAGAATTTTCAAGTTTCGACGTTGCAATTGAATTTCGATCAAGCACATGACCTGCATTTGAACCAACTTGATCTTCACATGAAATTACACATGTATCGCCTTTTTGATATCCTTGGACCTTATCTGAAGTTTTCGGAGCATCAGCCAAACTTTTTCCAGAGATGTTTAACAACTGAACCTCTGGTCCAGGAACCAAAAGGCCGGCCCTCCTGAACCTTTGTTCCAGGCACCAAAAGTTCCTCCTGCATTGAGGATTTTTAATAAGAGGGTTCAAAATATGAGAAGTAAACACACAAACTAGTGGAAGGGGGTTCGACATCTATTATACATACCTAAACCCCCTAAGTATATGCTGCCTCCGCCCCTGGCACTGACCTTTGACCAACTAATACTAGCCTTGTATCGCTACTATTTTCAATATTTAGGTTTTGCATAAAATTGATATTCGGTGTTCCGTTCACATTACTTGCATTATCTGTATCATCAGAGACTTTATTTTCAGTTGTTTTTTTTTTGCATTCAAGAAGTCTCGTGCATCACCTTGCAATTGTTCCAGATTGTTTATTTTGTCACCTTACTGCTCGATGTCATCTTGATTACCCTCCCCCCTTTTGTTTTTCTGGATCATTAGTCTGCAATCAACATCTTCATGACCTTGGTGCTTACAATAGTTACAATACAAAGGAAGATTATCAAACACAACATGTTGATAGTGTTCAACGAGCTTACCAGATTGTTCATCCAAAAAATGCATCCTTACTCGTTTCGTATGCTTGTCCATAAGATCAAGAATGACCTTAACTCTAGATGTGCTAGGTCTTGTCCTATCTTGAGTGGCTTTATCTATGGCTACTGGCTTACCAATAGCCGATGCAATGTATAACAAAGGTCTTCGAGTAAAAAGATTTGGTGGCAGATGAAAGAAATTAAAGAGAAAGATTGGGAAATTTTCTGAATGTTTATTCATTCCTGATATGATGTATATATACAATATCTACTGGAAAATTAAAAATAACCCTA